GAGGGAAGGAAGAGGGTGTGAAAAGGGAAAGAGAAGATGATAGAGACGAGCGGAAGGGAGAGAGGAAATGGGACGTGGGATAGAAAGAAAACACAAAGAGAAGATCGGATGAGACTATTCTATCCCCACGCCTTCTAAAACAGAGAGGGGCGTGGCGTAGGGAACACAGCGCTAAGCGGATATAAAACCTCTCAATTTATCGCTGCCAGTCACACACACGCCCATCTCCCCACAGGGTTTCGAGCTCCGTTCCTCGAGGTGGGAGGGAACGACATGTATCAGGCTCTCTACGACAAACGGCTTCAGCTACGACTGCTCTTGGCCGGCTCTGCAGTACACCAACTGGTACGTGCGTCGTGCTCTGGGTCTACAGTTGGGGGACCTTCTTCTCCTTTTTCTTCCCCCTCCTCCCTTCTCCTCTCTCTCTCAATTATTTTCCTCGCGTGCCTCCTATTTTCACTTAATTAGCTTCGGTTGTGACATCTCCCTCTTCTTATCTCTTGTTCTCTCACGCATGCAGCGTATGGGTATATAGGAATAATGTAGGCCTATATATGCATGTACTCATTGGGGTAGGTAGGATGGGTGGGGGTGGTGGTGGTGGGGGGGGCGATTTGCACCTCTCACAGGGCCCCTGAAATGGTAGCTGATATAGATAAAAACTGAGATTTACTCAAATAAATCAGTAATTGCGCCAATAAGAATGTTCGACGGATGACCACCCTTCCGCCCCTAGTACTGACTGTAAATATTGTATATGTCAGAAGGCGGCTCCTAAAGTCTTTTCAGTTCAGAAACGCGCCCACAGTACACAGGCTTCGTGGCGCTTTCTCTTTTCTCGTTTGAAATTCTGAACTCTGAGCACAGAAGGGAAGTCGGCGGGCCAGACCTGAGAGAAGTTCGGCCTGGAGAGGAGAGTCGACAGCACATCCGGGACTCTTGAGGAAGCGTCCGCGACTTTCGATCCCCAGGTCGTCGGATCTGGCGTCTCTGCGAACGTTTATTTCTCTTAAAATTTCTCTACGAGGCTTGTGCACTTTCCCTCAAACCCTGTTCTAGGACGCTTGTCAAGTCTGTTATAATTGTTGTATATATCACAATCTTAGAGTTGACAAGTCGGATCAAATATTGGGCAAAACAGTATAGTTTTTTTCACATTGTATATACACGCGAACGTCCATTTGCATTTTATGCGTGTGTGCACTTATCAACATCTAGAGTTACAGTAAATAGGCAATAAA